TGTCTGACTGGGCCTCGTGTCACTTTATGTTCAACAAATTGGGCCCCGAGTTCAAAAAGGTTAAGAACCCCTGATCTAAGTTGGGGGTAACCCTCAGCTACTATCATAACCCATTTTAGCTCTATATCTGTAAAATGAACAGATTTAGCCATTTTTGTGTAAAYTGCTGACATGTTTGTGAGACATTTTGCTAATGAACAGCTAAAAACGGCCACATCAGTTCAATCAAAGCGACGTGTGACACAAATATATCAGAGACAACAGAGACGCCACCTCCTGAGTGATGGYGTCAGAGGAAGAGGGCATCCTCCTCCTCTTCACAGGTGACTTGTGCGTCGACTCCACGAAGGCTCTGTACGTCATCAGCTGCAGCTCATAATCCTAGGAGGGAAAACACGTAATTGTTCATGTGTCTGTTAGYAAAATATCTCCTGAGCCAGTGGACAGAGGTGAGCGTCTCACCTTGACCGAGGTGCAGAACTGTTTGGAGTGAGTCTGACACTCGTCCAGTTTGGYCTGGTTCTGTTCGATCTCTGCCACCAAAGCCTGAAAGACAGGAACGCGACACSGTGACGAGGCGTTTCTGATGTGGGGGGTGACGGGTTTCGGGTCTGCGGTACCGACCGTCTGCTGGGCCAGCTGTTCAGACAGAGCCCGGCTGTCCGTCTGTCCGGGTTGTGCGCTCTCTTGTCTCTCTGTCGTCTCTTCGATCCACCGGATCAGATCCGAGTGTCCGTCTCTGTACTGCCGCAGCGACGAGCCCACCGACTCCAGGTCGGCCCGTCTGCACACAAACAGAACCRATCAGAACACAGACCCTCGGTCTTTATGAACACAATGAGCTTCAGATTTCCTGTTTTGAACTGGATCGAGAAGAAACTGCATAAATGTCAAAGTCGTGATTTTTGTTTTAGAAAAGACCTGAGACGTGCTTCATCCTTCAGCTGATCATCAAACCTTCAGCTAACAGATCCAATTGTTAAAGATAAAATCCTATTTCTGTCATCTGTGCTCGTTTTTCATTGATTCTACTAAATAAACAGAAAAAAAAACGAGGTGTTTGTGACGAGCTGCTGGGAACAAAGAGCCTAAAGATCTGAAGAAAAACTGGGTCTTTGTTAACCTCTTCAGCTCCAGGGGCTTTACTTGTAGTTATTCTCTAAATACCATGCTGAGATGTAACTGAGYATCTCAGCATTTACAAACTCTACTTAAATAATCTTGGTATCAAAATAAAGCAACACYTGGGAGATTTCATCAGAAGTCTAAGTATTAACACAGCTGCTGTGGTTTTAGAGATATTGAGAATGGAACATTATTTTTTTTTATTTCACCTGAATAATTGTTGCATTAGACAGTATATAACCCATTTAAACCCATAATGAATCAGGCTAAAAACTCTTGGAAACCATAAATCCACCTGTGAACATCACCTGTGCAAAGATTCATTTTGCTAAAATGAACTGGAGCAAAGTTACAGAGGTTTTAGTAAAGAAATAATTTAGTGTTTTGTCATTCTGCACAGGACAGACCATGATGGTTCCATTAATAAATGTTAATGTTTAGTTTTTACATCCAAAAGTTATTTATTTTTTCTTACCTGTCTTAAAAGACTTGTTATTTAATGTTTGTTCTTTTGAAAAATTATCCAAACATTTATTTGTCACCATATATATATATAATATAAAATAATGAGAAATTATTTTTGACTTCAGTTGGATCAAATTCACTCAAAATKAAGTAAAAAGAAAACTTTCAACACATTTTACAACATATTTAGGTATCTACTTTGACTAGCTTTAAAATAAACGTCAAGAAATTTTTCCTTTACAGATTTGCTTGTTTGTATTTACAGATTTGCAATGATGACATTTTGTACAGTTTGTTGACTTTCTGATTCAACTGCCTGTCATTTAAACTGTGTTTGGATGTAAAAACAGTTTCCATGAGCTTTTAGCCAAGATTCTTAGCTTTAGTTTCAAACCAAACATTTCAGGTTCAGCTGACAGATCTGAAGTTAAAAGAAGTTAAAAGAAAGAGAAAACAGAAAAAGCTGCTTTGCTCACGAGGTTAAAGGAAATAATTGACTGGATTGTTACTTAAAGGAGACCAAATGTTAGAAAACAAATTTAACATTCATGCTAATATTTCTTCTTTTCTCTCTCTTATTTATTCCATCATGTAAAGAAATAAAAGCTGAAGAGTTTCTGATGAATCACCGTGTTTCTATCTGTCTTCTGATGCTGCTCCACCTCTCTGCCGTCTGATTGGCTCTCTCCTGGTAGCGCTCCAGCTCGGGGCTCCGGTCCGAGTGCAGCCTGCTGAGCTGAGACCCCGCCTCTTTAGCCCGATCCACCTGACCCTGCAGGACCTGGAAGAGTTCTTCATGTTCGGTGGCCTCCGCCTGCCAGCGCTGGAGAAAGGAAGCCGTCAGAGTCGGAGTGAAAAAGTTAAAGTTTTATTTTAGAGTCGGGGAGGGGAGGGGGGGTGGTCTCACCCCGAGCTGGTCTCTCAGGTTCTGAATGGCTGCTGTGTCCGCAGGAACCATGTCCTCCTCGCTCAGTCTGCTCTCGTACTTCCTGACCTGGCTCTCCGCCTCCTCCAGGCGCCGCAGCAGGACCTCCACAGTYTTCAACCTGAGCAGGTAAAGTCAAATAAAAATCACTACAAATAAAATAATCTGCTTTTTACGCCTGGAGAGAAACGGCTCACTGACTTCTCCAGGTAGACAGATGACAGGTGGTGCACTTTATCCATCCGGTCCACCGCCTGACCCAGCTCCGAGCGCAGAGCGGGAACGCCGGGGGACGCCGACTTCTCCTGGAAGAACCCGACGCAGCGTCGAGACACGTCGCCCAAACTGGAGCGCAGCGCGTCCAGCTCCGACTGCAGCGTCTGCACCAGAAACCAGAAAACACATTTCATTTACAACAACCAGAAAACACATTTCATTTACAACAACCAGAAAACACATTTCATTTACAACAACCAGAAAACACATTTCATTTACAACAACCAGAAAACACA